GCCCTACGCCAATCGTAAACCCTAAAATCCCAATCTTAGTGTGATGTTACGATCAGCTTACCGTTCCACTAACCAATCTTACCCAAGTCAATCGTAAAGTTAAGATCCAAAGTCTAAGTTGCTCAGGACCAACTTAAGATAGCTAAAATCAATCGTAGAGAAACCAAAGTGGTGGCTTTCATAGTCTATATGAAGAAGAAGAAGAGCGAGCATTTCACCGTGAGCGTCCCCTAATTCTTTACTAACCATGAAATGAATTTGTTAATTCTGTGATGTAAACAAACACTGCACTGAAGCCGTTCAAATGTCAGGCCAGTCTGACCACTGTCGTCATGGGAACACAGCCGAGGGTTTCGGTGTAATACATTTGTACAACAATATTACAACGCCATGGTTAAGAATAGGGACGGGTCGTGAAGTGAACAATGTTCTGAAACAAAAGGATACAAATATGTTTGATTGAACGTGCGCTTATATGGTAGGGGATTCTAAATTTTAAGGCAGGCCGCGTGTTTTTCAAGACCACTGACTAGACTACATTCTAGATACGTTATCAGATGATGTGCTTGTGGCGAGGTAGAGGCTAGTCTGTCGTACAGACTCAGAAGCAAATATATCCAAGAAAGCCAACGCAAGTCTAGAAAATGTGGCAAGTCTGGATTTCCTCAGCTTCAGGTCTGAAAATGAAGAAAGTCTCAGGGCTCCTTTTCATTATATTTCATTTATGTTTTACTATGAACTTTTTTCAGTAAAATATGTTCATTTCAGAGACTAGTTGTTAGTCTAGGTAGAGGCGTTCAGCCGCACTTGCCCCTGAAACCAAGGTGCTCACTACCCTAATATTTTGCTCGAGGTTTTTTCTCCACGTTTACACTTGGTTCCAAAACTACTTCCTTGTTTTTACTACCATCTTCACCATGCCTGTGGCTTTGACTCCGAGGTCCATCCATGGTACGACCCTGAACATGTCCAGGGCATCATGGAAAATGATGCCTTCAAACTTCTCTGGAATAGGCCCATATACAGCCTGAGAATAATTCCAGCCAACAAACCTGCTCTGGTCCTTTTTGATAAAGCTAATGAATTTATTTATATCATTGAATTTTCTGTCCCTTTTGACAGCAACGTGATTGGGAAGATTCAGGAAGAGCATGCTAAATATGTGGACCTCGCCTTTGAAATGTCTCGCTTGCATCCCAAGTACACTGTCGTCAGATTCCCCTATTGTTCTCGGTGCCCTTGGGTTGGTACCTCCTGATCTCTTAGCGCAGATCAGGAGAGTGCCCAGGTTCTCCACCGGGAGCACAGTCCTTCTGGCAATCTGGGTAATGCTTGTAAATGTGTTGTAAAGTTTTGATTTACCAGACATTTACAAATTTGTAAATATGAGATTTACAGCAACAAAATTACAATTTTGTAAATATTCACAAAGGGAGATAACTCAAACGGTAATTTCACAGGCAATGTCTATTTATTACATGTGGTGTCTATTACAACGTCTAGACCAAAGAAGAAATTGGACACCAGACACATCTTTACCTTTCACGTTTCCATCATGGATTTTATTAAGAGCAACAAAGGCGGTTTGAAAAGAAAGAAAGAATTTGGATTGATCTGGTAGTGCTTGAATTTTTGTTTAATTATAAATGCAGAATTTATGATCATGATGATATTAACAACATTACTTAATGAATTTCATAAAATTGGTTATTGTGACTTTTTTAGGTGACTTTTTTCCTAGCCAAAATTGTGACCTGTGACTTTCGTTTCGATCACCAGTCGCGTAATTGCATGCCATCTGTTGTTTCCAGTATGGAATGCAGCCTGGCGGAGGTGTGTTATTCAATACTAATTTTGTGCCAAACCTTTATTGCAGGAAATTGTTGTAGAAACTTAAGAAATAACAAACGATATCATGTAACGGTTTGTTGGTTCGAATGATTGAAAATGCATGGTTATTGAACATCAAAGAGTGTTTTGTGAATTCAACACATTGTCTGACGAAAAACGCCAATCCGAGAATTATTAAGTTATTTTTAAATATTCAATGATTTGTGATATTATAATCCACGAACACCTCTGGAGAGTGGTTTCGTATAATTGTTGGTCATATTGCTTGTGTTTGACTGTTTATTTTTCGATACTATTGGGCCAGAAGCATAGACGTATTAAGCATCCTTTGGTGCCTGGTCTCAGGAAACATCCAGAAATAGTAGATTATTCGTCCATAATACCACAGTAAACTGTGTTTGTAGCGAACAGACGGATATAACGAAGCGTTATTGTGGTTTCCTGCATGTTTCAGTCGAAATGCGTATAACGAACTACGGTTACAGTGAAGTAAAATTAATGGCCCCTTTGAGTTCGATATAACTGTAGTTATCATAGGGGCCTTTATTAACTCACAACTGAGGAGACCCGTTAAGAACCGGGGTAGAATTGGTCTTCAGTAACCCATGCTTGTCGTAAGAGGCGACTAACGGGATCAGGCTCGCTGGCTTGGTTGACACATGTCATCGTATCCCAATTTCGTAGAGCGATGCCCATGCTGTTGATTACTGGATTGTCTGGTTCAGACTCGATTATTTACAGATCGCCGCCATATAGCTGGAATATTGCTGAGTGTGGCGTAAAACTAAACTCACTGACTGACTGAGGATTTACAAAAATATATCTCTCGTCAAAATATGGCTGATGTCATCCATTTCAAAGGCAAGGACTGTAATAATACTGATTATTTTATACCTGTTATTCAGTATCATGTTTCAGTGTTATCAAAGACACTGGTGGCCTAGTTATCTAAGGTGTCTACTGAAGAGTTGCATCCTTGGGTGGACTAGAAACAAGTGGCCATGGGTTCGAATCCTCGGTTCCTTATTACCTTTCCTGGTTTGTCAGCAGAATACCAATGTTCATGGGATTCATCAAAGTTGTAAACATCTGAGAGCTTCTCCACTTTGACCTTCCCGCCTACCTTATGCTAACACACTGGGATGTAACTGAAATTGTAGTTCTGTGGTGGTGGTGGTTGTCTCGCGATCCAAGTCAACCGAAACCAGGGGCGGTGGGGTAGCCTAGTGGTTAAAGTGTTTGCTCCTCACGCCGAAGAGCCGGGTTCGATTCCCCACATGGGTACAATGTGTGAAACCCATTTCTGGTGTCCCCCGCTGTGATATGACTGGAATATTGCTAAAAGCGGCGTAAAACCAAATTCACTCACACGCAAACGAAACCGCACGTTTCCTACCAGTTTAATGCTGAGGGCATTCCGCCGTCTTTCTCCTTGACAACGCATGTACATAAGAGAGAACATTACGTTATGTCCTCTTAGGAAGGACCGGCCTACTCGTTTGTTTTAAAGAGTGACGTTGTGACGTCAGCCGGAAGTCCGTTGCATCTTTTTTACTGGTTTATCGTGTGGTTTAAACATACATGAATTTTATTCAAACAAAATTGAATAGGGATCGGTGAACAAGCTTTAAGCTTATGTGAACACCTCTCCCTTACAAAGTCAAATAATGATTACATAGTTTGGTTGTTAGTCATGTATAAGATGTACATACATAAGAGTGAGTGAGTGAATTTAGTTTTACGCCGCACTCAGCAATATTCCAACAATATGGCGAATAATGGTAAATAATCGAGTCTGGACCAGACAAGCCAGTGTAGGGCTGGGACGGGTCCAAATTTCCTACCCGGGTACCAGACCCATTATTACTCGACCCGACCCGGGTACCCGTTATAACACTAATTGCGAGTTGTTCCTCTTTAATAAAATCAGTTATGGACGAGATTAAGAGTGGCGTCTGGAAATATTTTGAATACTCGCATCAGGCACAAAGACAAAATGCACGTTGTGCACAGTGCAGCTAAGTCAGAAAGGAGGGAGTACGTAATAGATGTGGAAACATCTGAACATCAAACATCCCTCCGTAACAAACCAGGAGCTACAAACAAATGCCGTTCCAATCTACAGGCAAAATACAATTGAAGGTATAAATAAAAAGTGTATACCACTGAACTAACAAGTGAACAATGGAATACAAACATAAAGTTTTCAAAGTAAATACCTCTGTCCCTCTCCCGTGGACTCATAATCCAATCACAATAGTCAGACAGACAGACAGATTGCTACAATAAAGTACATAATAATACATATCAAAATATACAGTAAATATTATAAATGGAGTTATGAGAGACGGTTGATAATCAAATATCACAGAGCAATATATTGGAAGCATATGAGTAGATAAAATTACAATTGAACTTAAAAAAATATATACAAAAATATTAACATGAAATGTTAAACGTATTTATATAAAATTTGGCGGCGTCTTAAAAAGGTTTTAAAGCAGTTTTTGGCACGTACGTGTATAAGATCTTGAGAGCTTAAAAACAGTGATGACTTCTCAGGTTCCGATAAGAGGGTAAAACGTGGCATGAAAAACTTTGCCTTCATAACGGCCGGTTTCCATACGCGGGGGCGCTGTACCCGTCGTGAACAAGGTGAGGTGAGTTGAATTTGGGTTTAACGTCGTGCTTGAAAATATTTCGCTCATATGACGACATGCATGCGTGTGTATGTGTATGTGCGGCTGCTTGTACGAGCCCAGACTGAAGCTGGTTTTATAGTGCTAGCCCACTGAGATATCACGCCACAGTGAAGCATGAATACCCCACTCAGACACATTATATCTATTCTCCGAGCCGACCAGTGCTTGTTGTACCCATTAATGCCGAGCGCCAGGCAGGCACCAACAAGTACCATATTTTAACGTCTTTTGGTATGACACGGTCGGGGATCGAACCCGCAACCTTCCGCTCCGTGTTAACATCTGGGTCTATTTTATCAGTGCCATCAGTGAATTTCTTTTGCCTTCAAGTATAGGTCTAACTTTACGCATAACAAACTTGAAACAAATGGACTTGTGTACATCAACATTAGAATGTTCATGACTGTATAATTCCAAGATGTACAAAACTTCATTTAACAAGTCACCTGTAGAAATGAATACTTTATTCAGTTTTTAACAAGGATGATGCTTCAGTTTGTGTGTGTGAAGGTTATCTGACCTAACAAATCTTTCCCCACACGTACTGCATTCATGGGGCTTGATGCCGCTGTGACATTTCATGTGTCTCAGGAGACTACCTGACTGTGTAAATCTTTTGCCACACCGCTCACACTTATATTTTTTGGTTCCACTGTGACGTGCCATATGTGTGTGGAGATCACACGATTGAGCAAATTTTCTGTCACACACACTGCACACAAAAGGCTTGTCACCACTGTGACACCTCATGTGTATCGTGAGAGCCATCGACTGGGCGAATCTTTTCCCACACACACTGCACAGATGAGGCTTGATTCCCCTATGGCCCCTGAGGTGTCTTTGCAGAGAGCTGGATTCTGTGAATGATCTACCACACTTTCTACATTTGTAAGGCTTTATTCCAGTGTGAATTCTTGTGTGGTTAAAAAGAGAATGTGATCGTGTGAATGTTTTCCCACACTGTTTGCACTCATGTGACTTTGTCTTGTGTTTCTTTGGTCTGCTTCTTTCCATGGATCCTATATCACTTTCTGTATCTTCTAAAGCAGCATGGCTTTCATTCTCATTGTCTTTCTCAAGGTGGCAAGTTACTTTGGATCCTATATCACATTCTGTATCCTTTGTAGGTGTATCACGTTTACTCTTTTTGTGTTTCTTAAGTTTGCTAGTTGATACATATACTCCACATTCTGTATCTTCTGAAGCAGCATGACTTTCATTCTCATTGTCTTTCTCAAGGTGGTAAGTTACTTTGGATCCTATATCACATTCTGTATCCTTTGAAGGTGTATCACGTTTACTCTTTTTGTGTTTCTTAAGTTTGCTAGTTGATACATATCCTCCACATTCTGTTTCTTCTGAAGCAGCATGACTTTCATTCTCATTGTCTTTCTCAAGGTGGTAAGTTACTTTGGATCCTATATCACATTCTGTATCCTTTGAAGGTGTATCACGTTTACTCTTTTTGTGTTTCTTAAGTTTGCTAGTTGATACATATCCTCCACATTCTGTTTCTTCTGAAGCAGCATGACTTTCATTCTCATTGTCTTTCTCAAGGTGGTAAGTTACTTTGGATCCTATATCACATTCTGTATCCTTTGAAGGTGTATCACGTTTACTCTTTTTGTGTTTCTTAAGTTTGCTAGTTAATACATATCCTCCACTTTCTGTATCTTCTAAAGCAATATCACTTTTACTCTTCTTGTGTTTCCTGTTATTCCTAGTAATAACTACAGATCCTCTGTCACATTCTTTTTCCTTTAAAACAGTATAGCTACTACTCTGTGTCGTGCTTTTAGTTTTCTTAGGAAAAGCTTGTAAGTTAAAGTTCTCATTGTCTGCACTTATCCTAAGTCTCACGTTTTCCCTTCCATGTATATCCTTTAGATTTATCCTTGACAACACGACAGAGGTGACTGGACTCAAGTCACGACTGTCGTTTGGATACATGTCTGGAAAGAAATTTGAAAAATACATAAAAATGTTGAAAATTAAATGTTTGACCTGAAACAGTATGATCGAAATATGACAAAAAAAATGTTATGTTCGTAACAATAATGGGGCAACAATCACTAATATACTGATGGTAAAAGGTTAGGCAACACCCATATTTTGATAAATGATGACAAAAATAGGATTGAATGTAGCTGGATGGAGACTTTTGCATGCTTGGTTTTTGTATCTTACACAAAGGAAATAACAATGAAAATGGATTATGAGACAAAAGACAACATTTACTAACGTGATGGTGTTTATTGAGAGCAAAATAAAATGAAAGCGAAAAATACAACAAATGTCATCACTTTACATGTTTGGAATCGATGTGAAGGAAAAATTTAAGTACGATTGGAATAGAGAGAAATGGTGCAAGAAACAAACAGTTGAATGTCTCTAGCACTGTTTCAGTGTACCGGAAGCAATCAGTATTCAGTGTATCCTCCTCCGAGTTTGATGACAGATGCACACCTATTGGCCATTCACCGAACCAACCTTTAAAGATTAAGGATTATTGTGTTTCTGAGCTGATTCAAGTTGCCAACAGGATTGTCCAGTCTGGTCCTATTGCGGCCAATATCATCCCAAACATGTTCTATGGGGTTTATGTCTGGACTGACACTGGGCCATTCCAAAAATATAATTCCAAGTTGATTTTTGGCGTCCTGTACAATGCCTGCATGGTGAGGACGGGCATCGTCGTCTTGGAGGATGAAGTGTCTGTTTGGATTGGCATGAATGTATGGCATAATTGTATTGTTAATGACGTCATTGAGGTACTTTGGACCTGTCATTGATCCCTGAACAACTTTGATGTCAACTTTATGGTCATACGTGAAACCAGCCCAAACCATTACAGATACCCCACCACCAGCAACAGTTGGCAGAACACATCTGGGGTTCAATCTGTCTCCATCAGTCCTTCTGACGCGCAAGCGACCATCAGCAACGTGAAGGTTGAATCGGGATTCGTCCGTCCATATGATACGACACTATCTTTGTAGGTTCCAACGACGTCGTTGACAGGATCAGTCCAAACGAGCTTGCTTGTGGTAAGGGAGTAAACGAGGACTGACTGACTGAATTTGGTTTTACGCCGCTTTTAGCAATATTCCAGCAACATCACGGCCATTAACGAGGACGCTTGAGGGGTCGTCTTGCCTGAAAACCACCGGAAATGAGACGTTTGTTCACCGTTTCCCGAGAAATGATGATTCGGTGACTTGAAGGGATTTCTTCGAGCCAAGCCCAGTAGATAACGGTCTTCCCTGGCAGTGGTCTTCTTGGACGACCAGATCTGGGTCTATCATCAACATCACCAGTGTTTCTGTACTTTGAAAGTAGCCTGCTCACCACACCGCAATGGAGGTTAACAGCAGCTCCAACTTGACGTAAGGACATACCAGCATGACGCATGCCAACAATTTTTCACGTAACAGCTGACGTGACATGAGTTCGAGCTATTCTGATGTTTCTGAATATCACTTTCAATGTCACATTACTAGTGACAAAACCATGTGACTGATGGTGGTTCCCCCATGATGCAAACGCATGGAAATCTCGTGCATGAACGTGAACATTGTGCATATTTCGTGGAGAGTCATTGATGGTGCTACATTTCAGTAACAATTGTTTGGCTAAAAAAACACACATTTCGTCAGTTATTTATCATACCACACCAATGACAGGGAAACTGTCACTTATTTACGTGCCAGGGCATTCGAAACTGTCACTTATTTACATAACAATGACAGGGAAACTGTCACTTATTTACATTACAATGACAGGGAAACTGTCACTTATTTACATAACAATGACAGGGAAACTGTCACTTATTTACATAACAATGACAGGGAAACTGTCACTTATTTACATAACAATGACAGGGAAACTGTCACTTATTTATGATCAATGACAGGGAAACTGTCACTTATTTACATAACATGACACAGGAAATGACTTATTTAGTACAATGACAGGAAACTGTCACTTATTTTAACAATGACAGGGAAACTGTCACTTATTTACATAACAATGACAGGGAAACTGTCACTTATTTACATAACAATGACAGGGAAACTGTCACTTATTTACATAACAATGACAGGGAAACTGTCACTTATTTACATATAACAATGACAGGGAAACTGTCACTTATTTATAACAATGACAGGGAAACTGTCAATGATCAATGGGAAACTGTCACTTATTTACATAACAATGACAGGGAAACTCATTTATTTACGTACCAATGACAGGGAAACTGTCATTTATTTATGTACCAATGACAGGGAAACTGTCACTTATTTACATAACAATGACAGGGAAACTGTCACTTATTTACATAACAATGACAGGGAAACTGTCACTTATTTACATAACAATGACAGGGAAACTGTCACTTATTTACATAACAATGACAGGGAAACTGTCACTTATTTATGATCAATGACAGGGAAACTGTCACTTATTTACATAACAATGACAGGGAAACTGTCACTTATTTACGTAACAATGACAGGGAAACTGTCACTTATTTACATAACAATGACAGGGAAACTGTCACTTATTTACATAACAATGACAGGGAAACTGTCACTTATTTACATAACAATGACAGGGAAACTGTGTCATTTTATTTACATAACAATGACAGGAAACTGTCACTTATTTACATAACAATGACAGGGAAACTGTCACTTATTTATGATCAATGACAGGGAAACTGTCACTTATTTACATAACAATGACAGGGAAACTCATTTATTTACGTACCAATGACAGGGAAACTGTCATTTATTTATGTACCAATGACAGGGAAACTGTCACTTATTTACATAACAATGACAGGGAAACTGTCACTTATTTACATAACAATGACAGGGAAACCGTCATTTATTTATTTGTTTGGTTCTTTCTTACACTTTCAGAGCAGTTACGTGCATCATTTCATCCACCAGTCCACATGATCACTGATTCATTCCAGGGTCTAAACAAATGATCACAACGTACTGTTTCCTACATTCTTACTTCACAGAACCCTCACATTGTCTGCAAGGACCCTAAAAACATTATAACTGGCAGTCCCCAGGACCCCATCATGGCCATGTTTGCGAGTTGAGGTAAAAACCCTGTCACGTCTCCTCTTTCAAGCTGTGATATAATAACATGGCCTGTATGATAGCACCTATTGGACAAACATCCTTTCATTTATGTATCTTCATTTAATAATGTCTCTTTTTGACAAACTTACACAAGCAATCATCAGCCAGCAGACCAGCCTCCGTGTAGTTAGTCTGGGGTCTCTTACGTTTCATCAGAGAAAGATTATCTTCACATGGATCTTTTTCAGTCACCTGAATATGATTCACACAAACAGCTATTTACTCAAATATAACATATATATTTCATACACAACTGAATCATACACAACTGAACCTCACCTGAACACTTCGGGAATATATCAGATTAGTTGGTTGTTGTTTAACGCCACACTCAGCTGCATCCAAGCTATATAGAGGTGGTTTGTAAACAGTTGAGTCTGGACCAGACACTACAGTGATCAACATCATGAGCGAGTTAGTGAGTTTGGTTTTACGCCGCTTGTAGCAAATTTCCAGCAATATCACGAGGGGGGACACCAGAAATGGACTTCACACATTGTGCACATGGGGGGAATCGAACCTGCATCTTTGGCTTGACAAGCGAACGCTTTAACCACTAGGCTACCCCACAGCCCCCGATCAACATCATGAGCATTGATATGATGACGTGTCAACCAAGTCAGCGAGCCTGACCACCCGATCCAATTAGTCGCCTCTTACAACAAGCATGGGTTACTGAAGATCAATTCTAACCCGTATCTCCATGGATCTATTAGATCAGAAAGGTCATACAAGATCAAAGAAGTAAAGCTGTTTATACTAGGAAGGTGTTTGTGGTACATGCAAAAACTCAATCAAATCAGCTGTCATTTTTTTCCTAAATCATGCTCATGGTGTCTCATGTAGTTTTGCTAAGGTTTAAAATAGTCATGATTCATCTTAAGTTTGGTTTCTTAGTAAACTTTGAGTTGTATATACATGTCTTTCAGTCATGATTCACAGTTTCAGCTGACATTCCTAGACTAAAAAGGATTCATTTCGAGATGTTTCCCATAATCATGATAATAATAATAATAATAATAATAATAATGTGATTCTTAAAGAAAATATCAATATAAAATGTCGACTCTGTAATGAATTTACAGCGACTGTCCAACACCTTGTCAGTGGATGCCCTTTTTTGGCACAAACAGCATATCTTAAACGACATGATGCCATGTCTGTGGCTTTGACTCCAAGGTCCATCCATGGTACGACCCTGAACATGTCCAGGGCGTCATGGAAAATGATGCTTTCAAACTTCTGTGGAATAGGCCCATATACAGCCTCAGAAGAATTCCTGCCAACAAACCTGATCTTGTCCTTTTTGATAAAGCTAATGAATTTATTTATATCATTGAATTTTCTGTCCCTTTTGACAGCAATGTGATTGGCAAGATTCAGGAAAAGCATACTAAGTATGCGGACCTCGCCTTTGAATGTCGCGCTTGCATCCCAAGTACACTGTCGTCAGGCTCCCCATTGTCAGTGTAGGAAAGAAAGCCCGTCCCAACGTCCGAGACGGGTGAATTTTGTGGAGGACGGGTTAAAAATAAATCTAGTCCGTCCTCATGTCAGGTCAGTTTTAGCAAACAAATGACATATATATAATGATAATAACCTTTTTGAATATTTTTATGTTTTATTTATATTTGGAGGACAGGCTAGATTTTGGCAGGACTGGTAAAAAATTTGACCAGCCAGTCCTGTGGACAGGCTAGATTTTCTACATCTTTCCTACACTGCCATTGTTCTCGGTGCCCTAGGTTTGGTACCTCCTGATCTCTTGGCGCAGATCAGGAGTGTGCCCGGGTTCTCCACCGGGAGCACAGCCCTTCTGACACTCTGGGTAATGCAGAAGGCTGCAGTGTTGGGGAGCCTTCATATTCTCCGTAAAGTTCTTGGTGTGTTCGACTAGGCAGTGTTTCCTGGGAGAAGTCCCATTTGCTGTCTGGGCTGCGTGTAGAGGGCCCTGAGCTGATGATGAGCCTTACCAGCCTGACTGTGCCAGGATTACCCGAACCCTCTCTGCTGCATACTATCTTTAATCTGTAAAACATAATAATAGCATATTTGTAAAGCGCTTATATCCATGCTTTTGCATGCTCAAAGCACACAAATAAAAATGCAAGTAAGGAAAAGAGTTACAATCAAGGATTGTGGGTGTTACCTTGGATGTTGAGTGCATGTCATTCTTCTTCAGTCTCAGTCTGGTTGTACAGTCTGGTGCCTCATACGGCACAAGAGGCTTCGATGCTGAAATTTATAACAAGGAATTATGAGCATCACCATTACCAGTGGAATACTGTACACATCAGAACCTGGAGTGCATGAGTCAACATTTAGTCACATCAGCAATGTTTCTGCCATATACAGACAGCAGGATGTTGGACAGATATACAGACAGCAGGATGTGGGACAGATATACAGACAGCAGGATGTGGGACAGATATATAGACAGCAGGATGTGGGACAGATATATAGACAGCAGGATGTGGGACAGATATACAGACAGCAGGATGTGGGACAGATATACAGACAGCAGGATGTGGGACAGATATATAGACAGCAGGATGTGGGACAGATATATAGACAGCAGGATGTGGGACAGATATATAGACAGCAGGATGTGGGACAGATATACAGACAGCAGGATGTTGGACAGATATATAGACAGCAGGATGTGGGACAGATATATAGACAGCAGGATGTGGGACAGGATGGGACAGATATAGACAGCAGGGATGTGGGACAGATATATAGACAGCAGGATGTGGGACAGATATATAGACAGCAGGATGTGGGACAGATATATAGACAGCAGGATGTGGGACAGATATATAGACAGCAGGATGTGGGACAGATATATAGACAGCAGGATGTGGGACAGATATATAGACAGCAGGATGTGGGACAGATATATAGATAGTGGGTGTTGTTTGGTGTTGGTTTCTTGAGTAAATATTCCAGTGATCTTGGCCTGTAAACTGTCATGTATAATGTAAGGGACACCGATATTATGACAGGGCTCCAGATAAGGGCCATACCAGCATATGTACAGATAAACAATATGCACAATACGGTAGGAAATGATTTAGAAAACGTAGCAGATATGCACCACAGCAATGGTATACTGTCTGAGAATCACAGACGTATTTATCAGAAAAAATAGTATTGTTTTATTTTTCATTGACCTGTTTACACAAGACTAGCAATGTTGTGGTGCAAATATAAATGAAACAAGAATATTTGGGGCGAGGTGTCTAAGGTGTCGGGCTAGTGATTATTATATGGTCTCTGGGCTGACCTACCCCATGTCCCCCTTGTGACCAGTGAACACCTTCTAATCAACATTGCTTGAAAGTTTAGTAATACATGTACCTGTGTTGCCAAGATAGTAGCAGACATGTATACAGTACGGCTGAAGGGTACCCCAGGTACGTTTCTGTATACAGAAATGTACCCTAGCCAAAATCAGAATACAGAAACGTACCCTTGGAAGATTCCATTCTGTATTGTGGAGTTTTCTTCATTGGAACGGTCATACTATTGTATTAGATGCATTTGATTGCGTTATATAAGAGCATACACAGTATAACGAATATTTCCTGGTGCACAACGTACACCACTCGCAATCAACTGAACGGGAACAACTACATACGGTTTCGGTTTTGGGTTGCTCGTCCGTCGTTTAGGGTACTGGGTACGTTTCTGTAGTTTGTCTTTGTTTAGGGTACATGTCTGTATACAGAAACGTACCTGGGGTACATATCTGTAGTACCTGTGCCGACAACGACCACTTATGGCCACGTACCGACGACCCTTCAAGCAGCGTAAATAAAACACGATAATAAAACTGAAACAAACAGCGTTAAACACGGAATTGGAAAGTCGTCCCTATCCTATACAGATTTACCTCGAGCACTCCTTCTAACAGTAGTATGATGTTCCGAAATTTCGTCAGCATCAATCGAAACAGAACTATTATCGTCGTCCTTCATCACTGGCTTCATCGTTTTCCTTTTCTTTTCCACTCTAGGAGTCTTCATGAAATCTGGCTTCATTACCGGCATACCTTCAACAGGAAACATAACCAGTTGCATTCAGTCTCTTAGTTATCTTGGTCTTTAGCGGTTTTTGATTGGGATACACGTTTTTAAAAAATTAACGAAGGGAGGTAACTTTAAAAACAATACCGACACAAATTGCAGCCCTCTTGAAAGTTAATGCCACGACACTAAAATGTCGGCGTTTCACTTAATTTGTCCTTTTAAGTCTTGAAGACTACAATAATAACTCCAATATATTACTGGATACTTTATCATGTCTTTGGGTGAAGTGTTGGATAAATTGACAATATAGTTTCAGAGGTGTGACGATACAGAAATTTCACGATACGATACCATACGATTCGATGCAATATCACGATATATCTTTAGTTTTTTTCTTGAAAAAAAGTATATTTTGACATCAAGTAACTATGTAAATTTTGACATAAACGTCAATTTTCTAGTGAAAATTAACAATTTTAAAGTCAACGAAACATATCACGACACGAAAAAAAATATCAATATATACTTCCGTTCAAAAGTTTAGACTCACTTAAAACACTCACTGTATATGTTATGTTATGTGTGTGTGCGTGCGCGCGTGTGTGTGTGTGTGTGTGGGGGGGGGAATGTAACTTCGAAGATTGATTTCTCCACTAACTTGGGGCAACCAAATGCAATCCTTATGCATATGAATCGCATGAGCATCATGCATCAAATAGGTGAAAAGCATGTGCAAATATCGTGCATGTGAACAGCTGCATTTTGGTGTTAAGGTTTGTTAAGATTTCGCCAATTTTAACTGATTTTTATCATTTACTAAACTCATGACGATAATTTTTTCAACGTTACGAATTTGTTTTACAATACATCAGTTCATATGTAAACAGTACCTTTAAACAGTACGGAATATTTTGCAAAGTTTAGTTTCGAACAGTTGCCTGCAGTAAGTTGCTATATTTACACTAGTGAGTGTAAACGTTTAATGGGAAATATATACATTTAACGTCAGTATCAGGATTATCGATCAATACAACGTCACAGCTCTATTAATTAGGTCACAACGTTTAAACTGCACGTGCTCACTTGCACAAGGCGATCACAGCTCGAAAGTCAACCTGACTCCTTTTCAACATTGACTTATGATGGTCAGTGCTATCTTTGCCTTGAGAAACGACGGCCATGAACGTCACTTATTTCTACAAAATCAGTGAATTACCTAAAAGCGCCATCATTTCGTAGCTCTTCCTCATGTTTCTCAGTCTCAGCTTCTCATACTCAGACAATGCTGCCATTTGATGTTCAGTGAAGTACTTGTCTATGTCCCCCCACACGTGGCTCTCCATTTCTCTGAAATTAGCCACCGGCTCACCAGACCCTTTGAAAGTGGGTATTGCCTGAAAAATATAAGTGCGGTAATACAACAACAACATAACTAACTTTTTTCAGTTTTGCAATTTTTTATCTAGCATGACTACAAAGCTTATCGCATATAATAATGACGTTTTGTCTATAGGGTACAGCTTGACCTTGTATAACGCCTCTTTAGACCAAACGTACATTCTGAGGAAATGCTAAAATAAAATAATAAAATAGGCCCTATAGACATGCCGCCTTTAGTAAGAGACATAAATTTACTCATGGACACTGAAACCTTTTTTTCTTTCACTTTTTATTTCAGCACTTCGGGGTTACATGTGATACAGAAGAAGTATATTCAGGAACAAAGTTTCTGTTACATTTGATATACCCCGTGAAGATCCGGGTTAGAATATTGATCTTCAGCAACCCACGCTTGTTGTAAGAGGCGACAGGATCACTGACTTGGTTGACACATGTCATCGGTTCCCAATTGCACAGATCGATGCCCATGCTGTTGATCACTGGATTGTCTGGATCAGACTCGATTATTTACAGACCGCCGCCATATAGCTGGAATATTGCTGAGTGCGGCGTAAAACATTTAAACTCACTCACTCACTGTTACATATACATAGCTCCCCTTTTTAGGCCCCGAAATTTTACACCCCACCCCACCCCCCCCAACATATTAATACCTTGGTGCATTTGCCTGGTACATTAATAAAACTTGTCAAGAAACTAACTAACTACGCACGCACGCACGAACAGGCACTGCGGACTTTAATCCCACACCACATAAAACTGACACAGTAATTAAGTTATAACTGAAATTCATTTCAGAGTCTTACTGAATCCCTCACTATCACATACGTGATTAGTTCACACACCCATGACAACAATATTAATAAAATCTAACTGTACTTACTTGAGTATTAGCCATCCTTGTTACGGAGAATTCTGAAATAAAAACAAAAACGAAATCCATAAGAAGCACAAAAGTGATAAATATATAATACTCTCAACTATTATATCAGCAATCTAACCCACTCAGCCACCTCGGCTTCTATGATAATGTAAGTCCGATAGCTGGTAGTCTAGACCACAGTGAGGTGAGGTAAAAGTGGGTTTAACGTCGTGTTTGAGAATCTTTCGCTCATATGACGACGTGCATGCATGTGTATGTGTATGCGCGGCTGCTTGTACTAGCCCAGACTGAAGCTGGTTTAATAGTACTAGCCCACTGAGATACCATGCCGCAGTGAAGCATGAATACCCTACTCAGACACATTATACTCACTCCGAGCCGACCAGTCCTTGTTGTACCCATTAATGCCGAGCGCCAGGCAGGGACCAACAAGTACCATATTTTAACGTCTTTTTGATATATCGCGGTCGGGGATCGAACCCGCGACCTTCCGCTCTCCGGGCGGACGCTCTAACCACTACACCACAGAGGCGGGTCTAAACCACGACCTTGTGTACCCCTCTGACAAGTGTAAATCGGCATGGCTCCCATAGTGCCTTAGTGGGTTAGATGGCCTACTTTGGAATTTGGGTTCGAATCCAGGATAGGACTCAACCCTCAGAAAGTACAAGAACGTATTAATTAAGCGCGTTGTTACACATATGACATTTAAAAACGTTTTTAAATGGCATTGAGTATTAAGCGCAGATACATTCTTATGACGGTCACAGGATTGTCTGGTCCAGAATCGACCGTTTGAAGGTCGCACTCATATAGATGGAATAATGCTGAATGCAGTGTTAAGCAATGAAGCAATTAGAGTGAGTGAGTTATGTTTTACGCCGCACTCAGCAATATTCCAGCTATATGGCGGCGGTTTGTATAGATAATCGAATCTGGACAAGACAATCCAGTGATCAACAGCATGAACATCGATCTACGCAACTGGGATACGATGACATATGTCAACCAAGTCAGCGAGCCTGACCACCCGATCACATTAGTCGTCTCGACAAGCGTGGGTTACAGGAGATCAATTCTAACCCGGATCCTAACGGGTCAAGCCCTGAAGGAGAAAAGTAGTCTTTAATTCAGATGAGATTGTGTTTTCATGCAGCTCAAAATTAATTGGTGATTTAGTTTGCGGTTTAACGCAAATACGCATCTTATCTCGTGCGGTTTGTGTTTTTATAGTTCATAAATTGTTTACAGAAATACTCTTCCACACAAACACACTAATTGAGGCTCTTCCTTTTCATTACATCACAAGCACACAATAAATTTAAGCTATTTCTTTTCTTTACATCAGACATGAAAGCATAGGAGAGAAGCTTATAGGTCGTAGATTTTGGAGTGAACGTAGGAAGCTCAAGTCGACATATATTACCCTGTGACCCGTTGACCTGTGTATTATACAAGGATCGACCCCTACGTCGCCTGACCGGTGCTTGTCCCTGTGGGTGGTTCTAAACTTCCTCCAGACAAACACGTTTATAAACTAAGCTAAGTAAGGACCCCTACAGGGCTCTTGACTAACACACTTCAATGGCCATCACAGTATAAGTACAGCCAGAGAGGGAGAGACAATGTGTAGATATAAATATATTTTACTTCTACGTTATACGCTGTTCATGGGCTGCTTTTATTCATGGTACGAAGTCAGGACCCCCAAGACAAACATTTATAGCTTTGCATTTTTTTTGAAAAGACAATTATATAAATGTCTGACTTGCCAAGTATCTGTCAAACCAGTGATACAAACTGATGTACAAAATAAAGTACACAACTGGGTTTTTAAATTCATTTTCCAAAAGAAAAACAACGTAAATATTTTGAATAATTTGTGACTCGAAATGTTTGTAACACTTTTCAAAACATGTTCGTTGTTGTTTTGGAAAACAATTCCAAATCACCGGGTGTATACTTTCTTTTGTACGTCAGTTTATGTCATTATGGGTAACATTCAACTTCATCGGGCACAATAACATCCGCTGAAGCAAGACCAGTCGCTGATCTCAAAACCCACAGTCTCTGGACCAGGCAATCCAGTGATCAACAGCATAAGCATCGATCTGCGCAATTGGGAACCGATGACATGTGTGAACAAAGTCAGCGAGCCTGACCACCACTCACACGTCCAGCATGGGTTACTGAAGATCAATTCCAACCCTGAACTTTATGCGTCAAGTACACAGGAAGTATGGGTTGCTGGGGACCAAATCTAACCTGGAAGTCATCTGGGACTATACAACATAATGGTCCAAATCTAAACACACACACACACACACCACACACCACACACACACACACACACACACACACACACACCTCCCTCCCACCCATGTCATGTAAAAAATGCTGACCCTCCCCTGGTACATGTGTGCAAAATTGATGAACCCCCTACTTCCCCACCTGGGGAATCGAAACCGGGTCTTCAGCGTGACGAGCGAGCTCTTTAACCACTAGGCTACCCCACCGCTACCTCGTACACACAGAACCATAATCGTTCGTGAGTTAGTCACTGAGTGATTTTTCGCCAGTAATCGATGTTCCATAGATCGTGTCTGGGACAGAATCACCGGTGATCGATAGAATGAGCAACCCTCCACATTAGCGGTGTACAATAACACACTATCAGTCAGATCAGCATGGGTCCCTCACGGCCATGACTATCAACACAGCCCATGCCGCCCCCATGATGCTCTTTAAAGCAATTAAGCAGGTGTCTATTATCAAAAGGCTATGGAAGAAGTAAGAAACATTTTTACCTTGCGTATATGCCTTGTGTTCTGTAGTTGCTATGACATAACAGTGACGAGAGTTACGGTAGATCTACATAATGGCGAACAGCCGTGAAAACGGCGCGCTCTCAAATTAATTCAAGACTGACAGTTGCGAGTACCGAGAAAGACCGCTTGTGATCATGCACGTGGAGTTCGTGAAAATCATGAAAAAACGAAAGAAAACAGACGACACACTTTACATGACTGTGATGCACGTGCTCAGTGATGTATTTCGCACTTGTGTAAACAAACATCTATTCTGTGAAATGAACATATTTTACTGAAAAACGGTTCTTAAATAATATTAATAAAATATAATAACATGGATCCCAGAGATTTTTGAAACTGAGGTAATCTACACTTGCCACATATTCTAGACTTGCAAGGGCTGTATAGTGTATATTTGTTTCGTTTGGTTGGTTGGTTTGTTGTTTAACACCGCACTCAGCAATATTCCAACTGTATGGCGGCGGTCTGTAAATAATAAAGTCTGGACCAAACAATCCAGTGATTAACATCATGAGCATCGATCTACGCAGTTGGGATACGATGACATGTGTCAACCAAGTCAGCGAGCCTGTACCCCGATCCCGTTAGTTGCCTCTTACGACAAGCTTGTGCTGCTGAATACCAATTCTAACCCGAATATTCACCGGTCATATTTGTATGTCAGACTCGCAGTTGTATAAATCATTCGGAAACATTTACATGAGCTATACGTAATAGAAAACTTAGGTTACTATTTCGTGCAAATCTCGATAATGTAAAGACCACTCAATCTCCCACCAACAGACTTTATTGTTTATGAGGGTACGTCGATATCCTGGCCAGTATACGATTTTTTCTTTTGATACGAAACGGGTGGAGTTGGTGGAACCCCTAGGGGTCTGCAGAGCAACGCTCAACCCTATAGTGAGCGAGTTTTGGTTTTTACGCCGCTTTTAGCATTATTCCAGCAATATAAAGGCGGGTTACACAAGAAATGGGCTTCAAACATTGAAGTCGTGGGGAATCGAACCCGGTTCTCCAGCATGACAAGCGGACGGTTTAACCATTATCGCAGTGGCGGACCCAAGGCAAGGGGGTGGAAATGGGGCGGGGGTGTTCCTTTTTAAGACTTAAGACCACATTGGAGCCATTAGAGAGGGGTTCCTTTTTTTTTTTTTTTGGGTGTTTTTTCGAACTTAAGACTTCAGCTCTACATTGGGTTGACGTCAAACGCTGCGTTGGCGTAATGCCAATTCGTCATCTTTGTTGGGGTTCAGGGTTTTTGTACACGACACACCGCCCAGGCTTTCTTCCGAATTGGGATTTATGTATATTCCTCTTTTTTTTTTTTTTTCGAACTTAAAAAATCCTGGATCCGCCCATGTATAGGCTACCTCCGCGCCGTCAGCTCTACAAATCCGGGGTTATAGGTCACGTTGACGTCATAGACGCTGCAGTTGGTTTTGTAACTTTTTAATGCTCCAGATTCGTCATCTTTAGTTGATACCGGGCTCATGGCTGCCAGTGTAGAAGTCGAGGGCCGCCATCGCTCCAGGCTTTCTTCCGAATAGGGATTTATGTTTGAAGTAGATCTGGGATTATTCTTCCACCAGAAGAACTCATGTCCGCACGTCATTTGACGTCACAGGCGAGCTTATATATGCCCCCAGGCGTGTGATGTCGACGCTAACCTGCAGACATATATTTGCAGGTTTATTTACATGCGTGACAGACATAAATAACACGTCGAAATATTATTCAAAACAGACGTATTAGCATATTTTGCACGAAGGGGTCATATTAAACAGATGTATAGTTAGTTTGTCAACTCAACCACTACAATGTTGTGGACACAATATGTGTTGGTTGAAATTTCATAGCATTGCTCGTACTGGTTTTCAAAAGCTAGCATGGTTATTATTTTAATGTTTTAGCTGTTAAAGTATCGTTATAAGCCGTGACGTTGCAGCTCGGTAAACGTCTGCTCCTTTCACAAGCCGACATTTATTGCATAGCTTTTGAATGGCAGATAGTTAAAACTGAGCAGTGGGTAGTTAAGATTCCATGGCCATATTGTCATCTCGTTGATGAATCCTTTTATCTATGGAATTGACCCTCTTTGAGGTGTCCGGGTGAGAAATCAGCACCCCAGTCCCTTGTGCTGCTGACGACTAAAAGAAGGGTTGTGTCAAAAATGTAAAATGAGTGAATAAGGTTTTACGCGGCTTTTAGTAATATTCCAGCAACATCACAGCGGGGGACGCCAGAAATGGGCTTCACACATTGTACCCATGCAGGGAATCGAACCTTAGCCTTCAGCGTGACAGGAACATAACCATCATGCTACCCCACAGCCCCGGTTGGTGAGTGAGTGAGTTTAGTTTTATGCCGCATTTAGAATATTCCAGTAATATCACGGCGGGGGACATCAGAAATGGGCTTCACACACTGTACCCATGATGGGGGCGGTGGGGTAGCCAAATGGTTAAGCGCTCGCTGGTCACGCCGAAGACCCGGGTTCGATTCCCCACATAAAAAACTGTGTGAAGCCCATTTGTGGTGCCCCCCATCCGTGATATTGCTGGAATATTGCTAAAAGCGGCGTACAACTAAACTCATTCACTCAATGTACCTATGTTGGGAATCGAACCTGGGCCTTCAGCATGACGAGAGTACGCTGTAACCGCCATGCTACCCGCTGCCCCAATTGGTGGGTATGGTATGATCAGAGACCATGTAATAGATCTATTATATGGTATCTGCTATGATATATAACTGAAATATGTTGGTATGATCTAAAAATAATAAATATCGTCCACCAATGATTGTGCACGTTTGTTCTAACCTTCTGGAACGAAGCGTATGTTACACTGACATGCTTTTGTCTGTACTTCAGTTTGAATTTAATAAAAACAATTTTTATTATTTTGTTTTGGCTATTCAGTTTTCAAGCCATCTGTATGTGGACATATAATCGATTTGACTCTAAAGAATTGAGTATATCGATTTTACAATTATATTTACTGAATTAACTACGCACATATATAATATATACTCATGCCAATAATGGTTGTCACCCCTCCCTACCCCAACCCCCCACCTCACATCCCCCCTCCACACCTCTCCAATAAAAAAAATTGAAGGAGCAACCCTTTTTGGCATGAGTATCTATGATCGAGCATTAGCACAATGTGTCAACACTCCATTCATCTATGTGCTTTTCTAAGCGACTACACTCGTTTGAATATAGCTGAATATAAGCAAGAAAACAAGCATGACGTAACACGTGATGGTATAAAAATATCGGTTCCATCACTCATGCTTTCGCCTACGAACATGTAGACTTTATTTAGTCTATTATAAAAGAACATAGAAAATATCATAATGGTTGCCCTTTCTGTAACTGAATATTTAAAGATAGCGACGATCTGTATCGACAAATAACAACAGTTCCTGTGTGATGTGTAGAATCGCGGAGGTACAAACTATTTTCTTTACGTCTAATCAAACCTGCTTCTTTATTTTAAAGCACCTAAATAAAGTAAGTAGCCGTTGGAAAGTCTACTTGGCACAATTTACCTCCCTTTGGATCCAAAGGTCATGTGACGTCACGAAGGAGACAAAGATGGCGGCGACCAGCTGAGATAGGACATATACGCATGTGGTTAGATACAGAGATAAACTCGTCTAAGGAGGATGTGACAGACGAACTTTTCAAAGTGATGTGAAGACAGCTTGTCATGCACTCAGTAGCGCTGTATGGCAGGCTTCTAGCCCGAGCGATCGCAACAGGAATTCACAGTGAACTTCAGATTCAGAGAGAAAGAGCCAGGGAACCTCTACAATTGGTAACTGGATCTTCAGGATTTTCGAAGACAATAACCAAATCCCCAAACACTAGGAAATGGGCATTCGGGGATGATGCTTATTTCATTTCAAAGAACAAAGCAGTCGATGTCATAGGTAGGTTCTGAACTTCTCGCGTAGCCGGCTCTTTGTTCGCGTCGCTGGCTATTGATAGACGTCAACTTGTTTATTTTTCCTCCCACGTGCTCTTTGTTTTGGTTTGTAAGCATGTGTAACGTATCTATTTCATCACACAGACATGTCATTCACGTGCGTAATAATGGTTGTAAGCATGCTGGCACATCCTCAGTTACATTTCGGTAAAGGAAACCATTGCATGTGGCGTGGAGATTTCTTTTAACGTGATTTGTTTCCAATGTTATGCATTTCCTTAGCATGCCCCTTTAGCATGGAGGACTAAACGTGTCTAACGTTACCATAATGACTGTTTTGTGCTCGTTGTACATACAGTGTGGGAAACCTCTCATGTGTGTAAGATAAAAAAAAGAAAAGCTTGATTTTGTTCATTCACAAAATCTGAGAGCTTACAAAATGTAAACTATGTGTAATTGTAACTATATGCTTCCTTATCTTTTGCCCATAATTCTATTACTAAGCATGAGACGTAGTGTCATGGCAGAATATGAGCAATGACTGTTAGCATCATTAGGATGATGACAGTAATTTGATCAATATGACATGAGTTAACATATTTCTTGACTGTGGACTGGCCCATGAGTTAGATTAAACTGACCTTGCTGAAGACAGATTAGACATTGACAGCTATTGTGTTTTTCTGGCAAATGCTAATGAGGTCAGTGTGCATTGATTAGAGATTTAATTCAGCCTAAACCTCATTGCTTATGGCTGAACACACAATCATCATTATGTAGGTGATGGTTGGATGCAAATTATCATGAAAATACTGAAGTCATTAAACCATTTGCTCATAAAACTTGCAGGCAGCTCATTTGTAATTGTCATTGTTTTCTTACTTTCTTCAATAATGTAATCCTTGCAAAAACAGAAGGGGATGGCAGAATGTTATTTAAATCAGTTTAACATACAGACGTAACATGGAATAAAATTTACAACATTGTTCGAGTTGTGAATAAATCCTGGTAATTTTGTTGTATTTTTTTAAAAAACATTTTAAAAGACGATGAATGGTGAGAAAGCACTTTTGTTTCATGCAATTGTGTTGGAAGTATATTCCACTTGAGCACGTTTTAGAAACAACCTTTATGTGCTTAACAAGCATAATGACTTTGTTTTCTTTCAAAGGTGTATGCAGGTGAAAGTCAATGTGTTACGTATTTTTAGAGTTATCTGCCCTGGCCAAGCATATGAAGACTATAATGAATTTGAGTGGTTAGGTAGCAAAAAGTTACTTTTCAGATCTGTTGTTTTATGTAACATCATTTCTATGAATTAATGAAGATAATGATCTCGTGAGAGTCTAAACAGCCAAAGGATTATGATGATCTGTCAAACTGGTATTTCAGTAGGTCTGTGTCATGTTCAAGAGGCTGTCTCTTATCATGTTTGTGGATGCTGTGTCCTCAGCTCACCAAAGGGCATTGGGATGAGGAGTGAGTGAGTATAGTTTTATGCCACCTGAAGCAATATTCCAGCAACATCACAACGGGGAGATACCAGAAATGGACTTCACACATTGTGCCCATTTGGGAGTTGAACCCGGGCAAGCGAACGCCTTAACCACTAGGCTATCCCACCGCTGGGATGAGGAGGGGTAACCATACTTGTGCTTGTGCATTTCACCCAAGTTGTAAACATCTAAGAACCTCGAGCGTTCCTTCAACATTCAGCTGACAACATGATATGAATGGAATTTTGTTAAGAGCAGTATTATGCCTAAACTCCCTCACTTATCTGCCATATTTTTTGTATCACTGTTATAAAATGGTAAGTCTTTGGTCATTGATCCTTGTGATATCCAAAAGTAATTGGGATTATTAGCTGTTTCTTTTGGTCCTATCACTAATTTCAATACCGAGAACCTGTACTTAAATTAAGAGAACATTGCTTTGTTTCTGAAAAATGATAAATATGATACTACTATCTGTGTCATATAACCACATCTTGCATACATTCTTTGCAGTTTGGTTGACGAATGGTTGTCAGTCCCTTTTGTGTTTATGTGTGCAGTGTTGGAAATTGTCCATGGATAAGGGGTGTTGTTGGGCATTTTGGGTTTTGTTTGTGAATTTGCATCTGTTACGTTTATAGATTCCTAAATCTAGAATTTTTAACATTCCAACTTGGACCACTTGACTTTCAATGCATGTTAGAATAACATGTGTTATACAGGGATTACTTGAGTCTTGTATAATATTTGAGGGTCCCTGGGACTCATACTCTTAGTTTTCAGGGGTCCTGAACAACAAAATGGGGGTCCCAACATTTAAATATTATTATTAACACTATGTTGTAATATTGTTGTAATTCAGTTACTGTTATTGTATTGTGTATCATGATCATCACATTAATTGTTACAGTAATTGAATTGCAAACGACACCATAACCCAGCTTGTAGCAGACTCTTTGATAACTTATTGTTACTTGATTGGAATTTTTACAAAAAGTATTTGGACTTTTTCTGGATTGGATGCAGTAATAAATTTCGTTACGTCCATTGTCAATTTTAATGCATATAGGACGCAGGTTTTCACGTCCTGTAAATCCCTGGTTATATTTGGGATTACACTTTCTCAGACAAATGGAAATTGGCACGACTCCAATGGCCGAAGCTATGAATAAACAAACCTTTCAGAAAGTGGTCCAATGCACACAAATCGGTACACAAAGTACATGATCTTGACAACCAGTTGTTAGACTTTCATCGTGTGGAAGCTGTCGTGGCTGAGTGGGTTAGATCTCAGACTTTTTTGTGCTGGTAACTAGGTGCCCTACCCTCAGAGTGGGTTTGAATCCTGGATCGGACTCAACCACCAGAACTACTAAAATCTGTATGTTGATTATAAAGTATAATCCCAAATATGGCATGTTGCATGATAGGATGCTCATCAGGTTATGACAATGAGGTAACCGTGACGATGTTTACATTGATGAAACAATAAGCCTGATCAGAATGGACACCTGAGTGAACATACAATGTGAGTGCTGACGACACAGTCTACATCCGCTATATGATGTCAGCATGTAAACAATCAAACAGATCCAGACTGACTAGTGGTTGACACGACCTTCACCCCACACTGTCAGGTTACCATGACACGCAAGTCACAGAGTCTGTTAGCCCTGCCCATCTGGTATCACTGTGCAACAGCTAAAGGCTGCTGGGGACCCTTCAGGCAGTGGGGAAGCCTAATGGTTGAATCGTCCGCTTGTCCCACTGAAGGACCCGTGAAGATCCGGGTTAGAATTGGTCTTCAGCAACCCATGCTTGTCGTAAGAGGCTGGTAACACTAACAGGATCGGGTTGTCAGGCTCGCTGACTTGGTTGACACATGTCATCATATCCCAATTGCTTAGATGCTGTTGATCACTGGATCGTCTGGTCCAGACTCGATTATTTACAGGTCGCTGCCATATAACTGGAATATTGTTGAGTGCGGGTTTAAACAACAAACAAACTGTGAAGTCCATTTTTGTTGTGATACGGGTGATGAATTGCCAAAAGTGGTTTTAACATTCATTCATTCACTCACAAGATTATACACATGGTATAACCAAATTTAATTATCACCATTAGTAGACAAAATCATTATTATGAGCAAGAGTTGTGTCATCACCAGACGACAATTGATTTTTTGCAGTGCTGGTTGGCAGCACTGGTCATTTGCTTGAAAGGATGAACTATAATTGTATAAATAATCTGGTAACCATGGTTACATATATCTAATTACAAAATTAATGTAGTGGAAATTCTGTTATTGCATATTTGTCGTTATTGTGCCATTTGTTTAAACTATGAAAACCATGGATGATATTTATGTGATAAATGTGATCACATGAGTAGCATCTGTAAACATTGTTTTTGAAACTCAATAGCAGCAGATGTTTAACTTATATAGCCTAGGATATATTCAACCTGGGTTATAAATATTAGGGCTGTGTATTGGCAAAAAAATGTATGGCGATGTATTTCGATTTGGGCACCTGTATTGCAACACATATTGCGGTCTATTGGGATCTAAACCATAGGCTGATCAGGGGTGGGTGGGGGTGTGTGTGCACCTTTTCTCAATAGTGCGAGCGCACACGCACGCATGCATGCACACACACACACACACTTTCTCAAAAAGCTGTATCCGCCCCTGTAAACTGTTGGACAGTGACACTGATTGTACATGTACATACTAAGGGTCTAAAACAGTGTTATGGTTCTGATAATAGTAAATAAGTGATAAATTAGGTTGGATAGTTAAGGATTCCCATTTCCTTTTTCATGCAGTTTACAGTATTGCGTAATTTACGCATGACGCCAGGGCAAAATGAATTCCTGCAGTATGTAAAGTATGCCATTTGGTCAATTTGTTACGAAGGAAAACATCAGTTGTGAGATGATTAAAAACAATTTTGTTCACAAAACTTCATGACATTTTTTACCCAATATACGGTTTTCATAAAACATATTGCAATACTTATTGTTTGAAAATCTTATAGTGGTATATCAATATACAGATAGTACCTTGCTGTCCTAATAGACATGATAATGTACCTAATAACGTAACCCAATGATCATGCTCACACGGGTCAGGCAGTCTGGTCGGTAATCAATTCTACATCAGTCATGAGTGGTGGGGTAGCCTAGAGGTTAAAGCATTCACTTGTCATGCCGAAGACCCGTTTTCAATTCCCCAGATGGGTACAATGTGTGAAGCCCATTTCTGGTGTCCAACGCTGTGATATTGCTTGAATATTGCTATAAGCAGCGTAAAACCATACTCAGTCACACGCTCATTTCAGCTACAAGTGCATGAATCTTGTAAACGTTAATTCTAATATATTTCTGACTTCAGTAAAATGACCAATTTTTCATTAAATTTGACCTGTGAATATCCAGATTAAAATTGATCTCAAGCATCCCATGTTTGTCACAAGAGTCAACTAACAGAATTTGAAGGTCAGAC